CACTGCTCTAGGCAATTATATTGAGGCAATTTGTATTCCTTCAGCCGAGGTGTCATCGTACTTTTAATGTTACTGCAAAGTGTTGGCATGCCTCATTTTACAAAAAACAAGTCGTAATAGACGTCATTTTTGTGTAGCATTTCTTTCCTTTCGTAACTAGCCGCTCCATCTAGAAGTAAGCGTTCTTTAAAAGCAACACATTTGGTAACCATACGAAAGGTTTAAAGGTCAAAGCAACAAACGCTCAGTTTGATGCTACTGCTTCAAGTCTGCAGACAGTGGATCCTCAAGTGTCCTTTGATTTGCTCCAGTTTATGGTTTGCAAGTCTTGAGTGCGGTGAGTTTCTGGAGGTTATCAGTGTCCATCGACCAAACTATCTTTTATATTTTGCTGAATACTAAGTAATACGATGTTACGATCTCTGACCGGATTTGTTGCTCTAGTGAATCTCCATCTCAGTCGTTTTTAAATGCTTTAAGTGGATTTGTAGACATGCAACCATGATGAATCAAATTTTATGGACAACGATCAAACTAGTCGATGCATTAACCTTTCTCATGCTTTTGAGTTTACATGGAATTGACAGCCTTGGAACTCAGAGTTGATAACACTGCTTCTAGGGCTTTGAATGCAACCATGATTACGGTGATGGCGACAGTGTTGTGCACGAGTATTCTGCTTAAATTGCAGACCTTTGGACTTGCATTTGAAACAGTGATAGCACAATAAGACTCAAAACGTGTGAGCACCGTCGCATGTCTACCCCTCTGCTCGGTTACCATCGTATGAACCCTACATTTCCTATCTCAGAATTTGCTGCTATTGTTATACTCGAGAAATTGACTGATGGCCTTGCCAAGTTTGATATTCATAGGCTCGCAGTCATACTTTTACTTCAAAGTGGGCGCCACTCCTTAAAGATATTTGTGGTGGTGTCAAGGCAGCCTTTGGCAATTTTCTTCTCTCACGCAAATGCAATTGGATGTCTCAAGCTGCGAGAAACAAATGATCTTTTCTCCTTGAAGATGCACGCTGAATACATTGTACTGAAGAAGTTACCGATAATGGAACGAAGAAGACAAAAACGAATGTTGAATGCTTTGAGGTTTAAACAAATCCTCACGATTACTGGCACCTCGCCAAATGTTGGAAATGGCGTCATGGGTGATAAATCATACACTTCACTCTTTCTGAAACCAGAAATATTTGAAAAATGGGTAAAATGCATTGCATTCCCTTCCCCATTAAATCCCCTCTCCGCTAACGCCGGTAGCTGGGATTATCCTGGCGTCGTGAGCCAGAGGAATCGCCCTAAAAACAGGGAGCCAATAATGGGAAACGGATTTTCCTCTTTTGGTGGTTATTGCAGATGTCGTCAAATTTGCTCCTTCCAGTTTGCAAATTGGGGCGCAACCGATGGCGTAGATGAACCACAAGCAGCTCAACAACGCGGTTAGAGGAAGGGCTTTGCGTGAACTCGTCATTGTCTGGCCCCAAATGTCGGACACATTGACTCACGGAGGTAACGCTGACTGACAATCCAAATCGATAGTAGGCAATGTGTGTGGCCTCATTGATGGTACAGTTTGGGCATCGTAATAACCTCCTTGAGGTTAAGCGCCTTTGCAATTGATGACATTATGGTATGTGACTTTTTCAGAGGATAAGGAAAAAGAAGCTGTTGGAATTTCAGAGCAATCATTCCCACAATTCAAACACAAGGTAGTGAACGAGCCAAATGACTCATTTGTCGACAGTTTCCAATCTTATGGATCCTGTCAGTAAATACACACTTTACATTTCAGTACAAATTCGAAAACACAGAGGAAAGTGTGTCGACATGAAGGCGGCTATTGAGCCAAGAAATTTGCTATGATCTGCTGGAGGCGGGCTGCATCCAGATCTCGAAGTAGGTTCTGAGGCAGATCTCACGCCTCAATAAGTTTGACATTTCAAAGTGCAAATAAAGGAGTTTAGCAGGTACCCATTAACAAAATATCAAATATATCGGGCAGAGGGAATGTAAAGCAAGGAAATGAACTAGCGAGTACGATTTTAGTCATTTCTTAGCTCAATTAAATATTATTCCGAGAAAATAATAAGGGAGGATTAAGTCAAAATAATTAATATCAATTTTGCCAATTGCCATCTTGTCGCAATATAAGACCTTATAGGAGAAATAAATTAAGCTAACCTTCCAGCAGGATCTGACAATATTGTAAAATAGGATTTCTCTTTGGATGAGCTATGCGCCATTTTGTACTCACATTCCGGTCTCGATCGGTTGTAATGCTATCCATTACTGTGGTGGTTGAATCCTAATAATAGTCACCCGCCTGCTACTCGTGCACTTGTAAGTACTATGGTTGTCATGCGCAGACTTGCTATGACTGATTAAGGGGAGGCAACTCACGTTGAGCCCAGATGGGAAGGTTAAATGAATGGTTCATCACCGCATTGGGGTTCGTCTGACCCTTATGCACGTGAAGTGGTCTTTGGGTTAAGCCAAGGCTTAGCCCCTTCTTTTCTCTTAGACTACTTGTATTCAACCTAACTTAATGCTGGTGGGAAGTCCTGGGAGCCTATAAAGAAATCCTCGTAACTACGACGTTTGTGCGAGCAGCGAGCATGTGGTATAGGTGCTAAAATTAGAGCTGAACCAAAATGTGACCAGTTGCGATTCTACGAGACATAATTACTAAATGGTGGTGAGGCTTATTCTATAGATGATTGAAGGAGCAGTACACATAAATGGACAAAAAGGGAGGACAGGGTGCTTCTGGCATAACCCGAGGGCCAGACTAACCTATAGAATAACTATCGTCACTAGCGGAGTTGCAACCGATACAAGCAGTCAAAGCAACAAAGGATTACATTTATGACAAATAAAGAGCTTAGCTCTGATGAATCAGAGGTCACGAGTGAAATGCATCATAGTGATAGGATTGCACACACAGAGGATGATGCTTTGAAAAGGAAACTCAGATCAACAGACATGTAGAATGCCAGCAAAGGAGGTTGCAGAACACTACATTCCACTATAATACCGTAGTCTTGACGTTGCTTTTACGACTAGCGATCATTTTGGGCTCATGGTGCTCTTGGCCCCGTTGGATATCCTTAAGGACAAGCCAGGGCCCAGCGGCATTCCTTTTCCTCTGAACCCAAGAATTCAGCCCTACTTAATGCCTTCTGCCTAGTAGAAGGTCTCAAAACGTTAGGTTCATCAATTCAAGCTATTATAAAACGTGTAACATACACTACTTAACGATATTCGCCCCAACCCAGGCAATAGAATAGGCTTTAAAAATGGGACAGCGGCTGTGGATGACTTGTACAAGGACCAATGCCATCATTTATTTTCACAGATATTTCTGCACTTACTAGACCTCGAATATGAATTTTTGTTTGGGTAAATCATAGGTTAAGACAAGCCTTTACCCAGCTCCTTAAAACATGAGTTTTGTCTAACTACACAAACCATGGCTATTATCTGTTGGAACGTATGCAAGTATGCAAACATAAACTAAATCATTGTACATTAATCTATATACATGGTTCATTTTGTTAGTAAAAATACTTTTGTGGAGGTGCGTAGTAGTCATTCTCGAAATGGTAGCCAATCATCTAACCGACATTTGATAGCGCTGGTGTGCCTCAATTTCAGTACATTAAACTATGGCCTCGTGGGAGGACGAAGCTAATCAGCCAGCTCCTGACATCAGCACTGATTTTTCCAAATTGGATGTGAACGCGCCAGTATTTATTCCTGGTCAATTATACGGCTTTGGTACCTCTGAAACGCCTACTGTATGGTCTGGTGCATCGGAGACTGAGACGGTAAATGCGATAGGAAAGAAAAAAGATTCTTTCCCTTCTCTGGCGGATGCTAATCAATACCCTGATGGTATCATGATCTTCCTAATTTATTAGTTTATGGTAGAAGAGAAGGAAGCTGCACCCCCACTCTCGGAATCTAGACGTCAAGTAGTGGTACTTCAGTTTTCCTTAGTAATTAGGTCTTAGGCCTGTGCCCCCCTAAAAAGTAAGAAAGAGGCGCTTAGCGTTGTTTTTATTGGCCACGTTGATGCTGGAAAGTCAACGATCGGAGGACACTTACTTTATTTGACAGGTGTTGTGCCGTTTTCAGTCTAATGCACTTCATTAGGCATGGTTGATTCGCGAACTCTGGAAAAGTATGCTAAAGAAGCAAAGGAAAAAAACCGTGAAACTTGGTATTTGTCGTGGGCCCTGGACACTAGTGTGGAGGAGCGAAATAAGGGTATTACGGTGGAGTGTGGTCGGGCCTTTTTCGAAACCGAGCACAAACATTTCATTTTAGTTGATGCTCCCGGTCATAAGTCCTTTGTTCCAAACATGATTACTGGTGCCTCCATAGCCGATATTGCTGTGCTCGTCATATCTGCTCGTCGGGGAGAATTCGAAACCGGTTTTGAACGTGGTGGACAGACCCGTGAACATGCAATGTTGGTAAAAACTACAGGTGTGAAACATATGATTGTCCTCATCAATAAAATGGACGATTCCACTGTGAACTGGGAAGAGTCAAGGTTTAACGAGTGCCGCGAAAAATTGGTGCCTTTTCTTAAGAAAATAGGCTTTAACATCAAGTCGGATATCTATTTCATTCCCTGTTCTGGTTTCACGGGTGCCTTCTTGCGTGATAGACCGAATGACAGTCGCTGTGAATGGTACAAAGGGCCTACCCTCCTGGAATACCTCGATAAGCTCCCACCGTTTGTCAGATGCGTCGATGGCCCACTGCGAATCCCTATTTCTGATCGTTTTAAGGATATGGGTACGTACGTTGTTGGGAAAATTGAATCTGGAACTCTTGTTCGCGGTCAGACTTTGGTCATGATGCCCAATAGGGTTCCTGTAGAGGTTCTTCAGGTAAGTGTTGTTAAGCCTTGTCTAGTAAAGGAACTCAATTTTTTAGATCCTCAACGATGATGTTGAGGTTGACGGAAGCGCTGCTGGTGATAATGTCAAGTTGAAGCTGAAGAACGTCGAGGAGGAAGACATCTCTCCAGGTTTTGTCCTTTGCTCACCTGATAACCTTTGTCATGTGAGTTTCGAAAGCTAGGTGGCATAAGACTGTACTACTTAGCTGGACAGTAACCAATTTTGTCTCCCTAGGTAGCGCATGTGTTTGACGTGCAGTTGGTGATAGTGGACTACAAATCCATAATATGTCCTGGTTTCACTGCGGTGATGCACATTCATGCGTGCGTCCAGGAGGTTCGCTTTCGCACTATCCTCTGTCGCATCGACAGGAAGACCAATGAGAAAACTGACATTCGACCACGTTTTATCAAGCAGGATGATGTTGCTATCGTGCGTTTCGAGGTAAGTACAATCGTAGCGTGGACTGATGTGCGGACACTTAATCGTTGCCTTTAGTTGCCAGCAGTAGACACGAGACCCGTTAACAATACAACACAATTTTAGGCAATAAGTGGATCAATATGCTTGGAGCGCTTCAAGGACTATGCTCAAATGGGTCGGTTCACTTTGCGAGATGAGGGGAAGACGATTGGAGTGGGTAAGGTGATGAAGATAATCGCCGCGAGTGAACAGTAAAGCTCTTCCGCTTTTCCTCCTATTCTCCCTTTATTACCCCGCTCGTGATTTTGCTGGCTGTTGAATGTCTTCTCCTCCCTCTGTGGCATTATACGTATTGAAGTCTTGGCAGATGGTTGTGACATTGACACTTCTTGAAACAGGAAAGTAGGTGGAGTCACACGACGTGACCACGGGTGAGGTACTCATGCGCCTAGGTGTTGGGATCCTGGGTTAGTATGCGACCGTATCTTAGATGCGAGGCCCTTCCTTGCTAGGTTGAAAATAATGCTGAGATCAAGTTTAACCGATCTCCCAAGATGCTTGGCAGCTGATTGTAGTGTTTAACCGATAGGAATTGTCGGATGCGTTGGCGAGATACGTGATACCTCAGTTGCTCGTCCAGATGTTAATCTCAACGCCGCACAAATCCATCCAGCCAGACCTGCTGGACTCTCTGGGTGCCTAGGATCGGGGAACCTGCTATTTAGAGCGACCAGCAAAGTTCCGACGCGATCAGGTGGGTGGGGATCAATTACTTCGCCTACTGGATGCGAAGCAGCTATATCGCGGCGCGAGCGGAATTTGCGCACTCACGTCACAGGCCTAGCCAGATGGCTCTCCAAGTGATAACATAGAATAAAGTAAAGTCAGAGAACAATGCCGAAAAGTTGATTGACTAAGGTGAGAGA